TTTTCCTCCTCGGGTTTAGGGTTAAGGGTTCAAGGGGGTTATGCTTCAGCGTTCCATGGTCATTGCTCAGGGACTTCGGGTTTTCGGGTTTTGCGGTTTTCGGGTTTTAGGGTTTTCGGGTATTCGGGTTTTCGGGTTTTCGGGTATTCGGGTTTTCGGGTATTCGGGTTTTAGGGTTTTCGGGTTTTCGGGTATTCGGGTTTTCGGGTTTTCGGGTTTTGGGGTATTCGGGTTTTCGGGTTTTGGGGTTTTAGAGTAAGGGAATTTCTTCTGTTTTGCGCTGTACATATCTGTGAGTTAACAGGCTGAGGACTTAGAAAATGTACCATAGAGAGCATAGCCAGCTGCAACGAACCCCTGTTCCACAGGAAGCAGAAAAAAAGAAGGAAAAACAAAAAGCAGGAACTTGAGAAATGATGCTCATTCAGAAAAAGGGAGTACAGGAACACTATATATATATAAAAAAAAGGGAGTACATAAAATGATAAACATAATGAGAAAAACTTGACAATTCATCAAAACACGAAAGAGCAAACAAGGGAGAGATAAAGAGTAGGCTCCTTCCTCTTCTTCAACAAAATGGCACCAACAGCTGAGGATGGATGTTGCTTCATTTGCCCTGCAAGGGGTGATCATCACCCCCCTGACTTGTAATCTTAACCCTGCAAGAGGTGATCATCACCCCCGATGACCGGTGGCAACGTAGGTGATGGTGGTTAGACCACAACGTCGGATCATGCCTGAAAGTGACAGTGAGTGACAGTGAGTGACAGTGAGTGACAGTGAGTGACAGTGAGTGACAGTGAGTGACAGTGAGTGACAGTGAGTGACAGTGAGTGACAGTGAGTCACAAAGAGTGCCAATGAGTGACAGTGAGTAACATTGAGTCACAAAGAGTGACAATGAGTGACAGTGCATCACAGAGAGTGACAATGAGTGAGAGTGAGTAACGGTGAGTAACAGTGAGTGACAGTGAGTGACAGTGTGTGACAGTGTGTGACAGTGAGTGACGGTGAGTGACGGTGAGTAACAGTGGTTGACGGCGAGTGACGGTGACAACGGTCAGTGACAATAAGTGACGGTGACAACGGTCAGTGACAATAAGTGACAGTGAGCGATGGTGAGTGACGGTGAGTGATGGTGAGTGACGGTGAGTGACGGTGAGCGACGGTGAGTGATGGTGAGTGACGGTGAGTGAAAGTAAGCAATATTGAGTGACAGTAAAGTGACACTGAGGGACAGTGACGCACAGTGAGGGACATGGAGTGAGGGAGGCATAGGGAGGGAGGGAGGGACGGGCAGGGAGATTGAGGAACAGTGATGGACAGTAAGTGTGAGGCTGTGAGCATCGTAGACAAGGTATAAGTCCATCTACAGGCTGCCCTTCAGATGGGGGCTGACACCGTTTCATTCCGGAAAAACGAACTTATGAGTTGTACCTCTTCCTCTCTCAATGACCACCTCCGTCTCCGGAATGAAACGGTGTCAGCCCCCATCTGAAGGGCAGCCTGTAGTTAGCGATGATGGCATTCTGCCGTTTTTCTGTATATTCGCCAACGTTTGCTTGTCTGAATCCTGTTGTTCTTGGGGGAGTTCTTTTAAGTTTTTTTTTAAATATTTTTACAGCATTTTTTAAGGGTTTTTTTTTTCCCCTTCAAAAACTTAAGCTGCAGATGCGACATCAAATTTATCAGAAGATTCAGAACGGACACTGCACTTGATCTTAGCAAAACCGGAAAAAAAAAAAAGGCCAAAAAGGGGKGGGGAAAACAAAGAAGGCCAAAAAAGAAGATATCCGGGATGGATCATCATCATTCTCTGTCTTTGTCAATACAAAGAGGTATTGCTTGTACGGGGGGGGGGAGGGGAAGAGGCCAAAAGAAAGTATACGGGATCAGGATTCTTTGTGAATAAAAGAGGTATTGTGCAAGGAATATGAGCGAGAGCGACAGAGAGAAATCCAAGTTGCAAAATCAGGCTGTATAGCAGATAGTCATGCACCAAGCAGACAGCACAATGCACCAAGATATCATCCAATGCACCAAATAAGAGCAATACAATGAACCCAAATGTCGATGTCGACTCTCTCTGGCCACACCAACACAGTATCCAAGGTCGCTCATCCAGATCGGCGCTCAGCGCCCAGCCTACTCTACGCAGCCTGCCTATCTATCCTACACTACGTTCATGCAACAGGATCACTTCGAAGTTAAAGACCAATGTATGTGACGTCGTCGCCAATGCAGGCTTCCAGCATACACCAGATATGTCTCAAAATGAAACGAAACAAAAAAGAAACGAAACGAAAACGAAGCGAAAACGAAACGAAACGCAATGAGTCAAAATGAAAGGAGACGAAATGAAACGAAATGAGAAGAAAAGAAAAGAGAAGAAAATAAAAGGAAATGAAAGGAAAGAAGAGCTTGCCAAAGCGACTGCTGCAATTCCAACTGGGGTTGGTTTCACTTCAGATTCCTCGATGATTGCCTCCGCCTCCTGCAGGGAAAAAAAAAAGAAAAAAAAAGAAAAAAAGTCATCAATAGATTCAATACACAGAAGATTCTGGAAGGAACAACAGGATCGATAACAATAAAACTGTCCGGTCGCCCAGGTTGCCCCGGGCATGCGAAACATCGCGCCCAGTCTTTTGTTCTTGTCAGAGAAGTGGGGCCATCTCTGCTCACACCAAGTTCTGCTTCCTGAACCACCAAAGCCTGGTGGGGGAAGGGAGGGGGCGGGGGGTGGTTGGGGGAGGAGGGGTGGGCGATGGAAGAAACATCACCGCTATCACATCGCCATCATCATCTTCATCCTTCCACCACAGCTCAAGCGGGACCACACAACGGAGGAAACATCATCATCATCATCATCATCATCATCATCATCATCATCATCATCATTGCATCATATTGCATCATATTGCATCATGACCACCATCATGATCATCATCATTATCATCATTTCATCATCATTATCATCATCATCATCATCATCATCATCATCATCATCATCTTCATTCCATCATCACGATCATCATCACCGTCATCATCACCGTCATCATCATTTCTTTGGAAGGTGCCTGGCGACGTGCCGAACCACCAGGCTGCCAACCGGGTGTGAAAATGCCCGGTTGAAGCTGGGCGCTGAGGTCGCCCGGGACCACCACCGGGTAAGGGCGGCTATGCCGCCAGAAAACTAATCCTGTGAAAAACTTTATTTAACACAAAAATGGTTTGCCATGGCCCTGCACCGATGTTGTTCTCTTTTTTCCAAAAAAGAAAAAGACTCGAAAAAACATCATGGTTGCCTTACGTCTCTCTGGGTCTAACACCGTTTTACCCGTGACCATTTCCAGAGATGTGTGCGGGGCAGCGGCGGGAGTGGGTGAGTGGAAGAAGGGGACATTAGTCTATTATGGTGGAAGAAGGTGTTTTTTTTCCGCCCTGAGGAGGAACGCATGGCGGGAGTCGAAACCGGATCAGGGTGCCTATACAGGGTGCCTATACCCGCCGGATTTTTAAGCAATCATCGTACACTTCTGTACTTTTGTGCATTGTTGTGCTTTTATACACTTCTGTGCTTTTGTGCATCGTTGTACCTGAGTATGCGTGTGTATACATGTGTGCTCAATGCTCATCCATTTCAGTGTTTTTTTTTTTTTTTTTTTTTGGCCGGGACCTTCCCTGGCCCTTGCCCCGGCCGGGTCTCCTAGGCAATCAACCTGACCCCAGCGGCCTGGTCGGTATCCCAGCCCCAAAACGGTTTAACATCAACCTCCATACGGCTCAAAATGCTTAATGAGTAGTCCTATCCCTTAAGCGGCATTGGCAGCGGGGGGAGGTCCATGGCGCGCTGTGCGCCGGATTCGGGTCGAAGTTTTGGTGAGGGGTGAAATTTTGGTGAGGGGCGGCGGATGAAGGCGATCAAGGGCGGGGGAAAGTGCAGAGGGGTGCGCGTACCGAAATGTTCACAGCGCGCCATTAAACGAGAGAGCGCGCCCCGGGGGTGCGGCACACGGCTGGCGTTGATGCGGACAAACATCTTGGAGGCGAGCCATCCGATATGTGGGCGGCTTTTTTTTGGTTTTGTTTTCCCCAGTTGGCCGTCATTTTGTGTCCCCCTTCTCCTTTTTTCATTTCTCATCCCGGTCGTTTTGTGTCCCCCTTCTCCTTTTTTCATTTCTCATCCCGGTCGTTTTGTGTCCCCCCCCTTTTTTTTTTTTTTTTTTGTTTTCCTTCCTTCTTTTTTCATTTCTCGCACGGCTGTCATTTTGTGCCCCCCGGTAGGCCATCGTTGTTCTGCTGACGAACATCTTGGAGGCGAGCCAACCGAAATGCAGTGTGAGGTCACCCACCGCATTTGTTATTTCTGCAGGCGTAGCCCGCACCGCCCGCACTTAGCAAGTAAAGTATTAAGTACTAACACTCTAATAATTTAAAAATCGAGCAATAATAAAAAGTATTAAAAACTCAAGAAAAAGCGGACACACAATAGCTAATCTGAATGAAGACACTAGATAGTTTACCACAATGTCACAAACCGTTCGCCTCAAAAAGCAAAAAAAAAAAAAAAAAAAAGGTGTACCAGACATGCAATGACAGTGCACGAGATGCTAAAGCACCTATGGCTGGCCCAGCCTTTGGAAAAAGGCCTGCACATTAACATCCCACTGGCAAAGAGGATTCGAATAAGTGTCTGAATCTGGACGTTTTCCACACACAGATACAGAAAAGTAGATCAACCACAATTTTTCGCACCTGTCCTCAAACATGTCCACATTCAGAGTTGATACAATCCTCTTTGTCAGTGGGATGTCGCCCTAAGGGCCTGGTTGCACTACTCTCCATACGCCGAGTTTAACAATAGGCCCCTGGTTGCACTTACTCGCCAAACTTGCGATGAAAATATGTCAGACTGCTCGCCACACCGTTGACACAAGTTGTGGCGAGTGCTTTCGGTTTCCCCGCCTGTGCACGGCAGTTTGTGGAGGGTGGTGGTCCCAGGACCTCTCCACAAAACAACTTCTTGGCGAGTGCAGGGCTTCACAAGTGGAGATCAGGCAGACAAAAAATTTTAATTTTTCAGACTGCTCGCCACACCGTCGACACAAGTTGTGGCGAGTGTTTTCCGTTTCCCCGCCTGTGCACGGCGGTTTGTGGAGGATGGTGGTCCCAGGACCTCTCCACAAAACAACTTGGCGAGTGAAGGGCTTCACGAGTGGATGAAACGGTATTCACCAGTTAGCAGTAGGTGCTGCAGATCCCAGGTTCGATCCCTAGACCCCAACCTTACCTGTGTGCAGTACCTGTGTCGGCCTGTAGAGTTGAACCCGTGACCTGTGTATTTGTAACAGCTGATAGGTTGTCGTAGGGTCCATAGGTAGCATGGGTTCGATCTGTARACCTGTCGGATAGGAGTYTYAGTCAGGTCTAGACACCGTAGCTGTAGTGTTCTCGAAAGGTCAAGGTTGTAGCTGCTACAATCCAGAAGGGTCAGAGTCGTAGCTGCTACAGTCACGAAAGGCCAAGTCTACGGCCTCCCGGAAGGTCCCGGTAGTGGCCTTTCGTGAGTTGCCCACGTTTAAGCAGAGGCAAGTGGTCAAGTGGTGAGGCAAGTGGGCAAGTGGGGGAAGTCTACCCTGCTGAGTCAACAGTCCCAGTCCCCAGTCAGTCAAGCAAGTACCGCACGGGACTGTGTGCACTTCGGGCCAGGGAAATGGGCCAGACCAACGACCTACAGAAGTATAAATCAAGAGGCAGCGCCCAGCCATTCATCCATTCATGCCGAAGCCATGCGGAAGCGCTGTCTCAGCGTCTTGTGCAAGGAGGTCTGCTAGAAGCCCGAAGCAGAAGTGGGCGAGGGGGACGAAGGACAGCCATAGCGATAGGTTAGAGGCAGCCATAGCTGCCATAGCTGTAGTTAGTGGGAAGAGTGTGTGTGCATGTGTGAGCGTTCAGAGTGACTTGTGTGGGATATCCAGGGTGATCCAGTGTGTGAACAGTGAGTTGTTTGGGCGCTAAGTCGCCATAGCCAGTTGAAAGAGAACTCGTATCTAGAAGCCATATCTCTGAGTTCTGAGTGGGCGCATGTCACCAGTGTGCTGTGCTGCTGTTTACATGCATGAAAAGTGTGAATAAGATGAGTCTGAATGCATGGAGATCAGGCAGACAATTTTTTTTTTTTTTTTTTTTTTTTT